ATAATAATAAAGACTTGACTGGATATCAAGAAGCCCAGTGAAGCAAGAAAGAAATTTTTCACAAAAGTCCAAGAAACCTATTGAAATATGGATTTCTGTTTGTGATTCCATTGTGTTGCATTGTCAGCAATGTCGGGATCAGAATGGACATCAATTTTAATACATGTGATGACAAGCTCTTAAGAGCATGCATTTATAATAAATATGCTATATATTGTATGTACAGACAAACCTCTCTATCTACGGACACCCCTCTCCATCAATGGACCTCAGATGCGACAGACAAAATCTGCAGGAAAAAAACTTTCAAATCATCAGCAATGTATTTCAAAATTTCCAGGCTTAGCAGAACAAGTCGTCTTAGTTCTCAAAGTGACCACTTGGTGGTGGTGACTGGCCTTTCAATTGTAAACAAAGATGGGTGTATAGTATATAATGTATGATACATTAGCGCGTGCATGAGAAAGTAGCTGTGAGAAATCTATTATTTTTGTTATTCTGATTAATATATCTATATTAAGTATATATTCATTTATGCCATATATACATGTTTATATTATTTACATTATGATCATAACTACTGGTAGTTAATATAGTGGTTTTATAACTCAAAAATAATCCTTTCCCATCTACATACAATCGGCTTTATCAGACTCCCCCTCCCCCTATCAGTCTGTTGATTTAAGGTTTGTATGCATTGTTTAAATTAGATTTGGTTCTAATTGTTTGAATTATTTCTTGAGAAAGCTACAAAATGTGCATATATATTTTTGAGACTCCCTGTATTGAAGATGCTGACTTTCCACACTACCTTAAGTAAAAGGTTAGGAAGGAAATTCCATCACCGCTAGAAATAGCAATAACAGACAGCAGACTTGACAAGTCTACTATCTTATAAAACTGTTTAAAAGAAAGATTTTATATATTTCAGCAGGAATAAACGTTCACAACTAAATCTTTGGTCAAATATTGCTTGTATGGAAGTGTCTAATCTCATTATTACCATTACAAGATACGAAATTCATATTTCATGACTTTATTATTATATAGATGAGAGGTTTGTCTGTACATCACATGTTTTAAAAATTGATGTCCATTCTGATCCAGACATTGCTGACAATTCAACAATCCATATTTCAATAGGTTTCTTGATGTTTTGTGAAAAATTTGTCAGACTTTTTTGCTTCATTGGGGTTTTTGATATCCATGGTTTTCCAGAACAGTTCTTGTGAACATCATTTACAGTACCATCAGCTTCAAACTTATCTCTGATTCCTGAGATTTTAATCTACATCAGTGAATCTGAATGAAACTCTCTTTGATATCACCTTTGAACTTGAATTTCATTTTTGTACTTCCAGTAGAATTTTTCATTGCATGTTTTTAAATTGATGTCCATTATGATCCCAACTTTGCTGACAACACAACACAATGGAATCACAAGCAGAAATCAACCTGTCCCAAAGATATTTGGCTGCATTCATACTCTATGGAACCTTCATTTCAGTGATTGTTGCTGACCTTATCATTGAAGTATCCCCACAAAGGATGAGATCTGATAAACGAGGAGGATAATCTACAGAACTTTATCTTCCAATCTATCTGTTTGGTAAGATTTCATTCAGATACGACTGTACATCATGATGATAGTGTGGTAGTGCTCCATCTTGCTGAAAATAAAATTCCTCTTCTCCCAAAACTTTTCTAATTCTTTGCATGATAGATTGTTGCAGCATACATGTAAAAGTGTGTATACATTTTTTTGAGACAGCCTGGAATTCACCTGTCGCCCTGTTCATACTCCTCCTTGGTCTTTTGAGCAGGAGTAGAAGTTTACCCTTGTTCCCTCTTTAGATTTGGGTTTCTGGCTCTTTTGAAAGTCTTATTCTCTTTCACTCAGAGTAGCCTGCTGCGTCTTAGTGGCATTATTGCCTTGCTTGGGATTTTAAAAACAAGTATATCATTTGACTATATGAATAAACTAGTATACATATAATTTGTAAGTATTTGGATGGCGATTTTTAATCTGTACAAGTTTGGTTAAAGGCGAGTAAAAGTTCTTTGCTAAGGATGTGTTGATTTTTTTCAATATTCTGAGCCATTTTACTGATTTCAGTTGAAAATCTGAATATAGATCTGCAGATGTCTGAATACTTTCAAGTTAATAAATATATTTCCTAAGCAAAACATGACAGCACAAACTGATGTGTGAAGATGTGTTCTTCTATATGTAATGCGTCCCTTCAGGATGTAGGAGATCATGGCTCTCCACAACATCCTGTCCTTCATATCTTTTAATAAATTTTGCCATTTTTTTTTTTTATTTCTCCTAAACGTTGCTTCACTGTATGTTTACTCAAACTTACTAAATATGTTATGTGTTGTTTTCTTCTGTTCCACTTACTTTCAATCTGTCCTGTGAGTATCAGATTTTCCAAGCCCTCTTTCCTCATTATCTGCCTGAGAAATTTCAAATGTCTCTTCCTGATTTTTAGTACAATTTTCTTTTTTGTTTCCAACAATTTTCCTTTTTGTTTAAAACTTCATTGTTGCTCACATGTTCGGTCCATAGATCCTCAGCATCCTTCTGTAGAACCACATTTCTGGTGCTTCGTCTCTTTTTCATCTGAACAGGTTAAGATTGTAATTATTGGAAGAAACATCCTCTATAAACCAGCAGTTCATGGTTAGAAGCTGCTAGAATGGAACTTACATCTCACTGATGAAATACAAAGAGGAATGGGGGTGATTTGCTACAATGTGCATGGCATGACGGGTCTTAGCTGTGAAGGTTAGAACTGGTGGAACTAAGGAATGTACTTCACCTGAACAGTTTTCATAGAAATAGCAATAGAACATTTCGTCTGTGGGGAAAGGGGTTGTAGGGTGGAAAGTAATTTGTCACCCACAAAAATGACTATTGAGACTAGAACGTGAAGACTGTGCAGCTCCTACCCATAGATGGCAGCAGTACTCCATTTTTGGCCTGATCTCGCTCTTGCAAAGGTCGAGGATAACAAGACAAGTGAGGAAGTTATGGAAGCAGTACAGGGAACTGACCATTTTTCCTGCATCTTTAGCGATGGATTGTATGTACGAGTTCCACTTGACAAAGATCAAAAGTATTGTTGCAGCCTAGTAGGTGATGAATTATTTTCCAGCCTACAACCTCTTTACCACAGACAAAACATCACAATCTTATCGTGAATTTCTGGTGTTCATATCCAATGTTCAGACAAACTATATTTGTGAGTTTGATTCACCAGTTATGACATCAGATGTAGTATCTGACATGCCACATACACAGGGTCGACCCCCCCCCATTCCCTTTGTATTCTCTTGGTAAGAAGGAAGTTGCACTCAGACAACTCAGATCTGTGGGATGATAATGGTTAACCCTAGACTTAAGATTGTAGTAATCAGTGAAGCATCCACTTGGGAGTCAGTTCCACAAAGCAGTGGTCCATGAGAAGCTGTTAGAGTGGAACTTACATCTCACTGATGGAATACAAAGAGGATGAGGATGATTTATTACAATGTGCGTGGCGTGATGGGTCTTAGTCATGAATGTTAGAACTGGTGGAACTAAGGAATGTAGTTTGTCTGAAAACTTGCCCTGAAGGTAGTGACAGAGTAGTGAGAGGCTTGTGATGTTTTGTCTTTGAGAAAAGGGTTGTAGCATGGAAAATAATCACCCACAAGAATGCGGAGATGCTCTTGGATTCTATTGAGACTGGAAAGTGAAGACTAGCCATCTCCTGCACATATATGGCAACAGTACTCCATTCTGATATAGCTAAAGAAACATAATACATGCATATAATCACAGTATTATAAAGAAAAAATCTTAGTTTAACAAAAATTAACCATTCATGCCTTTTTTTACAATACTCCTCTCTTTATCCATCCTACTTCCTCTCTCTTCCTCTTTGCTACCTCCTCCATCAAGTTTTAATATCTCTCTATTCCTACTGCTCTCTGTATTGCTCTCCTCTCTCTCCCAACTTTTCTCTCTCACTCTCCACCATCTGCCTCCTCCGTCTCTCTCCACGCTCCACCATCTGCCTCCTCCGTCTCCACCATCACTCTCCACCATCTGCCACCTCCGTCTCCTCTTCCCTCCCTCTCCACCATCTGCCTCCTCCGTCTCCATCTCACTCTCCACCATCTGCCTCCTCCGTCTCCTCTTCCCTCTCACTCTCCACCATCTGCCTCCTCCTCCTCTTCCCTCTCCTCTCCCACCATCTTCCTCCGTCTCACTCTTCCCTCTCACTCTCCACCATCTGCCTCCTCCGTCTCACTCTTCCCTCTCACTCTCCACCATCTGCCTCCTCCGTCTCACTCTTCCCTCTCACTCTCCACCATCTGCCTCCTCCGTCTCACTCTTTCCTCTCACCCTCCACCATCTGCCTCCTCCGTCTCACTCTTCCCTCTCACTCTCCACCATCTGCCTCCTCCGTCTCACTCTTCCCTCTCACTCTCCACCATCTGCCTCATCCATCTCATTCTTCTCTCTCTCTCCCCATCAAGCAGACTTCTCCGTCTCACTCTTACCCACCTCTCTCTGCTAACCCCTTCCTCTGCCTCCTTCCTCTCTTCTGCCTTGCTCTTTCTTCCAGCTGCCCCTTCTACCTCACTTTCCTCTCTTAACACAACCACCTTTTCCACCTTACCTCTCTCAATTCACGCTGCCTCATTCCACTCTCGTTTCCACAGCTGCCACTCTTCACACTTTTTTTCTCCCTCAATCATATTTTTATATCTTGATTACTCTCTCCCTTAACCAAATTCTCTCCTTTGCTCACTCTTACTCATTTTATATCTCTTTTTCTGATGATGGCACTGACCAGAATGTATTTTCAATACAACGTGGCCTTCAAAAGTAATTTTCAAATTTAACCATGAAAATGTTTGCCTGGATATTATTAAAATAATAAATAAATAAAAGAAACAAAACTATCTTAAAACAAGAGCATATTTTCTTAAAATTTGAAAAATTCTTACCCTGGTTTGCCTCCTGCTTCCATTGCATTAGCAAGAGTGACATCATTGGACCATACATCAAACTGCCATTTGCGAAGTCCCAGGACTCCACAGTGCACTCGGCCACTATGTATACCAACACGCATATCTACATTGGTCAGGGTGACCTCACGGACAAGTCTAGAAAAAAAAAAAAATATTTAGAAACAAGTGAAACATTTTTTTTTTATGTAAATGCAATAGTGTAAAAATATTAAAAACAAATCATAGAGATATATATCCCCCAAAATATTGATTGTTGTTCACTTCAATAGATCCTTGCTTCTCCTTTTCAGAAAAATAAAATAAATCCTCTCAACATTGTAAATCTTCTTGTTTTGAATCTTGTGCATCCTAATAGTAAAATAATTTCCTGCTTACTCCTATAAATTAAAATAATTACCTCTGCATTTTTATAATAAAATCATTTGAAATAATTTTTCATGGTAAAATCATAAGAAATATTTTGAATTTTTTAGAGTATTTCTTCATTAAGTCTTATATGTGATTATTTGCAATGCATTTTTGTAATAAAAACCTTTGTAATGCATTTTCATAGTAAAGTCATTTGCAATGCATTTTCATAACAAATCGTTTGTAGTACAGATCCATAGTAAAATCATTTTCAGTGTGTTATAACAAATCATTTGTAATGCATCGAGTAAAATCATTTGTAAAGCTTTCCTATACTGAAATAATTAATGATTCATTCCTAAAGTAAAATCATTCAATAGTAAAGTGATATGTAATGAATTCTTATAGTAAATTAATTTCCAATGCATTACTATATATACTTTTAATATTTATCACTATTATATATATATATATATATATATATATATATATATATAATTCTCAAAATGTGTGTATGTATGTGTATGTGATTGGATGTCGTTCATGTATTTCCAGTTTTCATCCGATTTTGATGAAATTCTTTCATTTGATAGATAATTCTTCCGTGCTAGTCTTGTCCAAATTGTTGTTGACAATGGCTCTCCACTACTTCCTGTCCATTATAACTCTCAGCAACATTTTACTATTTACTATCTGTTCTTGGATATATATCTTTCATAAAAACTTTAATAAAAATAGTTTAAATTATTACAAGAATATTATTATTATACAGTTCCCTTTTCAGCCCCCCCCATTCAAATTGTTAACCCTCCATTTGGGGATGTGGTCTCAGATGCACTCAAATGTTGTTACTAATATTGAATTTTAGGTGAGCTGACTTTAAATTTAAACTGCTCCAATTGAACGGCAAAAATTCCCATTAATGAAAGACCCAGTCAAAGGCAAGTTATACTGCTAGTATATATATATATATATATATATATATATATATGAAGGAATATAGTTTTAAGGTTTGCTCTATTTATGGGATAAAGTGTTCAATAGCTGTGATAGAGTATATGTAAAAGTGAACAGTTAGAGGCGACAGAATGTTTCATGCTAGAAACAATCATCAGGCCTGATGATTGCGTCTAGCAAGAAACAGTCTGTCGTCTCCACGTGTTGACTTCAATGTTCAATTTTACATATATATATATATATATATATATATATATATATTATTGTTAACAGTTGCAACGCTAAGGTTGAATTATGAAAATTTAAGTGAGAGCATTTTTGATTAATAAAATTCTCGGAATTGCCATATTAGTAAATTCAAAAACAGTCTCACTTAAATTTTCAAAATTCAACCCTAGCATTGCAACTGCACGCTCCACAATTTTGTAACTGTTAACAATAACACACTTCAAAGAACATATTTTGTCTTGTATTACATTAATTCTCACCTCAGATGTTACCTGAATATATATATATATATATATATAAAAGAAAGAGGTTATGGTTTCAACGAGAGAAAAGTGTGTATATTAAAAAGAAGAGAGGTACTGCAAACGTTTTTGGTTGTAATGTGGATTTTTTTAAAAAAATATTATGCTTTATTTCCATAATTTTACTACATGTGTTTCTGGTCTTGTGACCATCTTCAGGTAAAAGGTGGAGATTTCCATATATTATTAAAAATAATTAATTTTTTTTTCTTCTTTGTTTTTCAATGTTAAATATCCTTGAGATGAGACATTTTCTGTTTTTGTGTTAGTAATCCGAATGTCTTTCTTGAATTTGCAGTGAAGAGTATATATATATATATATATATATATATATATATATATATATATGAGAGAGAGAGAGGCTAGAATTTTCAAAAATTAATAAAACCAGCCCATCTAGAAAAATGAAAACAAATGGTAACAATTAAAAGAAAAGAGGAAAAAGGAAATATGAGAGAAAAGGTTAAGGTGAGTATAAAGTGAAAAAAAACAACAAAAAGGAAAAATAATCATGATATTTTGCATGTATGCACATCCATGCAGACGGACAAGCTTTATTGATATCAATGGAAATCTGTCTAGTATAAAAAGTGCTTTTTGAGTAATACTATGAAAGCTCATCAGTACACCTCATTCAGACAATAATTATATTTTTCTGAGTGGATTATAATTCCATCTTGTTTTATTTAATTTTCAACAAATAGCAGTGGAGATAATCTTTTATAGTTGTCTGAATTTCTTAGATGATGCATAGTCAAATAATGTTTATTTTTGACTAATCTTTCTTTTGTCAGTAGCAAAATGACAACGAAAGAAATACTCATCAAAAGTTAATAAAAATTGTCAATATTTCATCTAAGAAATTCAGACACCTTAAAATTATTATGTGTAAAAGCAAGATAAATCAGATGAAAAAATACTTGTCAAAAGTTAATCATAATTAACTATGCTTCATCTAATAATAAAAATTTAATATAATATTGTTGCTAGAAATTTTTCCTTAAATTCTAAAATAAAATGATTCCTAATTTTTTAACACTCAGACCACATCGAAAGAATAATGTCAGCAATAAAGAATACGCAATATTGAAGACATATTCAACACAATAACTGGCAGCCATTTTGTACTCAGTGGAAGAGAATGTTTCTAAGATACATACCCAATTGCATCAATCATATCTAGACCCATTTCTACACAACAATGGGCGTGATCTTGTCTTGCTTCTGGCAGTCCACTTACACAGTAATAGCAGTCACCCAAAATCTTTATACGCAAACAGTGATTCTCTGTGGCTAGACGATCAAACCTGGCAAACAGTTCATTGAGGAGTTCAACTAATTCTTTGGCTGTGCATTCTGAGGAGAGGGCAGTGAAGCCACAAATGTCTGCAAACAGTATGCTGGAAAAAAAATAAGCAAAACATTAAAAGGTATTAATATTAGCATGTGTGAATATGTACAAACAGTAAAAAAAAATGATGACTTGATTGGCACTTTTTATAAATTCTGGTTCAGTTACTAAAAGCATAATGTGGAGGTGTCTGAGGAATAAGGGGGACTGGATCTTTGGTGGGGGAAATTTTGGTCATTATCAGAAATGAAATCCTACTTATGATAATTACCAATGCATTTTGCAGTGACATTATTTGTAATGTATTTTTATAGTAAAATCATTTGCAATGTATTCCTATAGTTTGAATACATTTCTAATAATAAAACCATTTGCAATGCATTCCTCTAGTAATATCAATCGAAATGCATTCCTATAGTTTAAAACCATTTGCAATGAGTTCCAATAGTTTGAATGCATTTGCAATGAGTTCCAATAGTTTGAATGCATTTGCAATGCATTCCAATAGCAATATCAATTGAAATCCATTCCTATAGTTTGAATGCATTTGCAATGCATTTCTAATAATAAAATCGTTTGCAATGCATTCCTATAGTAATATCAATTGAAATGCATTCCTATAATAAAATCGTTTGTAATGCATTCCCATAGTAAAATCATTTGTAAAGAGTCGTTTCCATTCAGGAAACATTAGGCTTTCATTGACCAAGCAGTTGGCATCTGTTAGGTGAAATTCATAAAATCTTTTTTATAATTCAGTTTTTCAGGAAATTTGTCTTCTCAAATTTTTACAAGAGCCAGATTAGGCCTAAAATGGAGTACCGCTGCTATAGATGGGCAAGAACTGACCAGTCTTTACTTTCCAGTCTTGCTAGAGTTTAAAAGTGTTCCTTCATCTTTATGAGTAACAAATTACTTTCCACCCTACAACCTCTTTCTCACAGACAAAATGTTGCAAGCCTCTTGCTGCTCACTCATTATTTCTATGGAAAGTGTTCAGACAAACTACATTACTTAGTTCCACGAGTTTTAATCTTTATGACTAAGACCTGACATGCCACACACATTATAATAAACCACCCTCATTCCCTTCGTAGTCCATTGGTGAGATGTAAGTTCCACTCAAACAGCTTCACCCCATGAACTGCTGCTTTGTGAAACTGACTCCCAAGAGGATGCTTTCCAGATCACTACACTCTTAACCCATTCAATTCTAGGGTCAACCAATATCTTCCCATATATCCCTATAAACTTTGCCACTTACTTTGTAACCCTCTACCTTGAGTGGCTCTTGGGCCTTGTATAGTGTGACCATCACTCTAAAACAAAACAGCAAACAAAAAAAACTGTTATTGATCTTTCTAGTATTGATGAAAGTTTCTTTCCTAACCTTTTGTTTAAGGTAGCGTGGAATGTCAACATCAAAGCCTTTTTTTTTTCTTTGGCAAATTTTATTTTTATGTAAACAGATTAAAGGATAAATCAGATTAAAGGGAAATTTTATTTTAACGCTAACAAAGCAAAAAGAATATCTAAGAAAGAGATCTTTCTATGGTCACTTGACGGTGGCTGGAGATTTGCTGATGAAAACTTTGTAAACCTCTAAGATGAGCATCCTGTGTAAACAAACTCTGAATAGAGTACACCTGTATAATTTTATTTACAATTGTAGCAAATGCGGATGTTGCAGAAGATTGGCTCAAACAATTCAATTGGACAAAGTTTGTATAGAGAATAATAAACACGACCCTAAGCAAATTGTGAAGACAGTTGAAAGGTTTCTCTCTCTCTCTTTTTTTATCCCACAGGACAAAGGCCAGAATCATACAGGAAGTGTGGGGCTTTATTTCCCCACTCTCAAAATCAAACTGTATAGGAAATTAAACAGATCAGACGGCAATATAACCTCTGGCCAACAAGTCAAGAACACAATAGATGGACAGGAAGGACTTGGTGGCACCTTTCACCGAAAGGTTATTTGAAAACTTTGCTTTGATAAACCTTAAAGGTAACAAGGTTTAAACACTTCAAGTGCAATTGCTGATGACTTTGCTATGAAGAGCTCTGTTGATTTATTCCACAGATTATTTGGAAGATATTTTGGGGTCTGGAAAATTATCAAACTGACATTGACAATTATGTACAATTTCAATGAATATTTCTTTCCTCACGCTTCTTTTAAGTTACAAAATTGAATGCATTTTAATTTCAACTTATATATTGGGTTGGTGCATAATTATCAGGTGTTTTTATAAACAATATTTATTATGAAAAAAAGAAACAACAATTCAACAATAACATTTTTAAATGATTATTCTGTAATGTATAATTATCGACACACACTTTTTCAAAAAAAAGTAAACAAAACAGCAATTTTTATTAACGAATAACTACAAAAAATGCCTGATAATTATGCACCAACCCTATATATATATATATTAGAAATTTACTTATTTAAAAATATGGTTATTTATAATATTTATGCTCTGTAGATTTGCATTGCTTTGTAAATTAAGAATAAGAACACCGGATTATATATCTCACTATTCTTTCTCTTTATTATTATTATATATATATATATATATATATATATATATATATATATATGTCCTGGAAAGGGATATATTTGAACGAAGTAGCTAAGTGGTTTTGGCTACTATAACCAAGTAGAATACAGTAGCAGTAATCGACTGGCACACGTCGTAGTCGCAGGTAAGAAGTGTAGATCAATGGCGTAGTCCAATGGGCGTTATTATAGACTTAGCTCTCAGACTAAGGCTCTGACTCTCCTACACATCCATTGGCATTTATGGCAGACACCAGCCAATCATATTCCAGTGAGGGGGAACACAGGTGTACGCATATTCTATTATATCAATATATATATATATATATATATATATATATATATATATAAACTCCTCCGTAATTTCTTAACTGTTCACTAAGGCATACTCTCCCTACACTATAAATACTGGATGATTTCTTGCCTCATTCTTTTTTTCATTTCTTCATTTTCAGTGAACACATCTACAATGTAAGCTCTCACAGAAGATTGCGTCTTCCCATTTGTGGGAGATGCCATGAACATTATACACACATACACGTACGTATGAACATTCACTAAATACAAATTCTTTATGTTCACACCCAAACGCAAATGTTAATGTCTATGTTCATTGTAAATTTTGTTGTTTAATACACATACTATATGAAGAAATAATTATGGGTAACCATTAAAAAAAACAAATAAAGAAAATCAATCCAAATAAATACATAAAGTAATAAACAAATTAAAAACTACTCCCACAAAATTAAAAGATAAAATAAACTACAACAATCAACCCCAAAATTGAATAAATAGCTTTAATTATATTCCCAAACCAAAACAAAACTATTAAATAAGCTATATAAACAAATTTTTACTACGTTAATAAAAACACTGACTAATAAAAATAAATAAATAAATATATAAGATAAGAAATAATAAAAAATAAAAATAAATAAAAACAAGCAAAACAATTTAACCCAAATAAATAGATAAACAAATAAATGACTTCCAGTAAAATAATCGCCAAAAAAGACTATCCACAATGCACCAGTAACCTGTATATATAAATAGCCAAGAAAAATAACAGCACTCGTGGCCTGACGTTTACATCTAGCATGAAACAGACTGTTGCCTCTAAGTGGTGACTTCTATGTTCACTTTTATATATATATATATATATATATATAGGTCTTGTTTGTTTTCTTTACACTTCTTTATGGTGGATTTTATCTCTGAGTCCGCCATGATCTTGTAGTGGACCTTCTAGCAGGAATAAACACATGTGTTCCTAATTTAACAACCCCTAAACCCATGGTCGACTACATTTCAAAAACACATACATTTAAAAAAAAAAAAAAAACTTTAAATTTAGAAATTCCCATCATCTCTCCTTTGTGTGCATGAGTAGTCACATCAATGTAAACAAACTTTTAGACTAATGAAGCCTTAAAGGATGAAACATGTCACACAAAACCTTTTTCCACTTTGTCATAAATCTTTCCCCAAAAATTGTTTTTGATATATAACAATTTACCATATATATATATATATATATATATACTAGACTACTCATGACCCATTGGGTCACTGATGGTTCAGGTTATAAAGCACTGAAGTTGATTTTAAGAAGAAATATGAATATAAACATTATTGTCACAACTAACTTGCCCAAAGGTAGCCTGGAACAGGGAATGTAGTATTAGTAAGAGTAGTGGTATTCATTTTTAATCTAGACTACCCATGACTGACAGTTCAGGTTATAAAACATTGAAGTTGATTTCAACATTAAAAATATTGTCTGTCTGAAGAAAGTTCAAATAAAAATACTTACTGTATAAACAACTCGTATTTTTAAATCTTACTCACTTAAAATATTTTTTCTACCAGATTAACTTAAAAATATTTTTTAACATGCCAAAAAATGTTTTAAAATAATATTCACTTGAAAATATTTTTTAAATATATGCCCAAAAATATTTTTTAAATAATTAAAATATTGTCTGTTTAAAAAGAAAGTTGAAATATAAATAATTACTCTTGAAACAACAAGACGAAACAGCAAAGCGGAATCTCTTTGTGTCTGTCTTTAATTTTAAAATATTTTAATTAAAAAAATTGTCAGTTTTTAATAAAATTTAAAATAAAAATATTTACTGTATAAACAACTTGTATTTTTAAATATTGTTTACTTGAATTAGAGTAACTTTAAATCATTATGTACCAGACAGACATACCATGCAAGCATGCAATCACAGACTTTAGTATTATATAGGTAGATATCTAATATAATATAATAATAATACCAAATCCACTATTCAGAGTTTCATGTAATGGCAATCATCAGTTTATTTTATATTTTAAGCATTAGCTTTTCTTCTTTTACTATACACCAGGTGTAACAGCAAAATTGTCCAATTTGTGTAAAAGCAAAATTATCCAATTGTTAGATTAAGCTTTGAAACATTGTATCATAGAAATGATTAAAGATATCTTACTGA